AGAATACTTTAAGAAATATAATATATATATATATATATATATATATATTATGAAATTGTGAAATTGTGAAAAATAAAATGTATTTAACTAGTTTTTTTAAATTTTTGTGAAATTACACTTTTTTGTTTATATATAGGTCTAAAGGGAGTAGCTATTTTCATTCATATTTGTGATAATATTATTTAGAAAATTATTGATTTGTTGCATTAACATCAAGAAGATTTTACTAAGATAAAAAATCTTAAGACTTCAATAAAGTGATAACTTAATATTGAAGTTTCTTTTGAGCCAACATTTGAATAGGCTACTAAAAATTTATGTGATTTTAAGTCAACTTATGCTCCTATGATAAGAACATCATAATGATGAAATTAAGGGGTTTTAGAGATAAATGATCATGGTGCCTTCAGAATGGTTATAACAAAAAGAGATATTTTGATACACTCTCCAAAATGATAGAAGTTAAGACATTAAGAAAATGATTTATGTGTTCTTGTAGAAAGTAAAGATCACAAGTTGATCTCCTACAATGGGGCTTCCACTCAAGAAGATATCTCATTTCTTTTTCTATTACTAAACAAAATTACAAATATGAAGTGAATTTCTTTGAAAGATCATAGGATAAGGTAACAAAGGGTAGAGCTTGTTGAGGTTGAGTATTTTTTTCTTCTCTTTTATCATGTTTGCTTCAAGATGAGACCAATGTCTTTCATTTATAGGCATTTAACAAATAGATCCGTTAAAATTGTTTTGTTCTTCATGTTTGATATTAACATCACTATCTATTTATTATATCAATCAATCTTTACAAATAAAGTACCTTCAGTGCAACTCTTCAAATGAAGTCTTCTGAATCAAGTTTTCAAGACAAGTCTTATGAGAATAAATGTTTCAGTTGAAGTATTTTGTTCAGTAACTTGGGATGGATATTATCACTAGTGCTAATTATCATTCCTCGATATATTTTAAATTTTCTCTCAAAATGTCATAAGGATGATCTTGTGAATTTTTCCTTTTGTTCCAAGAGCATATCATAACTTACAGCTTTCTAATTAGTCTCATTAACTTTTGTTGAAACACTTGAACAAAACCATTAGCACACACATGGGTACTCTTCTTTCTAAATTTGAGACTTAAGAATTTGTTATTATTAAAATCAAGATAAGGCAAAATTCAACATTTTTTACTATTAAGAACCCCTTCATAATAACCTAACTTAGGATGCTTCTTACTTTATTAATTTTAATCACCCATTAAGAATGCCTCGTAGTGAACCACCAGAAAACCTTCCTTCCAACCCTCATTATCACTTAGAACCCACCAAAGAAACTCACCCTTTGATTTTCACAAACCTGAAAAGGATAAGTTAAAATAATTACTTTAGAATAATAGAGATATCTCCAAATGAAAAATGGAGTTGACTTATGTTTGACTTATTAAATTAAACATTTAGTATAAATGCTCTAATCTATGCTCTCTAATGCCTATAGAATAATACGCGGGTCAATCTTTTTCTATTTGTTATTCCATTATCTATTTTCTTTTCTTTTTTCTCTCTCTTTTATATTTTTTATTTCACCATTTTTTTATTTTTCTTTTGCTTTTTCTCGATTTATCACATATCATTCAAAAACAAAAATTCCACAAATTTATAAAGCTAACTTTTTGTTTTAAAAGGTTATCAAACATATTTTTAATTTTAGTGAAAAAAGAGAAAAAAAATTATAACTTTTATGCTCAAAATGAACAACTAAGAAATAATATTAGCAAATTCTAGAGGTTTAGAAGAAAGCCTAAAATGCCTTAATCATATTCAACCAAGCAAACAAAAATTAATTTGCTTTGCGAGAATGACAATGTAAGTTCTAGAAGACAAAGAACAAAGAATTAATCACTCTCAAGAAAAATTTGAGACATACAGTATAATGTTAAAAATATCTTCAAAGGTCCAAATCTCACAATTTAGAAACTAAATTTAAAAATTACAAATCAAGAAACTTTTGCTAATTATAAATTTTGTAATTAATCAGATCTATTAGATTTGTATTCAATTTAATATAAATTTTTATGAACATTTTTTCTTTTTAATTTGACTCTGCCTATTTTTTTAGAAAATGTATTCCAATGACTAAAAATATCTGTGATAGGAATAAAATGCAATATGAAATTAAGCTAGTTTAACGTCTTCCACGAGGCCACGAAGAAGAAGGAGTTAGCTATATGTCTTTGTCTTGAATTCTTGATTGACTTCCTACGCTGTGATTTCTTGTAATGATGACCGGACACGCTTAGATTCAACTTAGTTTTTTCATATAATCATTTACTATGCTGAACATTCTTGAAACACCCACCAAGAAAAAGACAAGACAAAAAAAAATACAAATTGTATATTATGAATTGTCACTACCAAATTAAAAGAAGAAGAAAAAATCTTTAACTAATGGAATGCTTCACAGTTTTCACTTATGCATTATTTACTGAAGGGAAATATCCGTACCAACATTTAGCCCCCTAAAATTACGAATCCATTGAATTATACTATCCACATGCACACGTAGACACGGGAACTTAATCACAAAGAATTAACGTGAATGGAACGTTGGGAGAACCTTCCATTCAAAGCCTTACCTTAATGTGATGAAGTAAAGTTACAAGACATAATAGTTAAGAAATTGAACATGGAATGTTAGTTTTCGCATTACCATACGCGGACAAGTGTACAACAATCTATAATTACAAATTCATCGATTTCCACGAAGTCGAAGACACCAATCGGTAAATAAAACCTAAGATCGTAGCAACAAGCAAATCCACGTTACAATGGAATCCGAACCCAGAAGCATAAAGGTGAAACTGATTTCGTGCAAGGACGTGAGATCCTTCAACTTCTTCCAGAAACTCACGCTCTACGCCACCGTCTTCGTCGAGAGCGAGGACCCAAAGAGGGACCTCACGGAGGAGCAGAAGCAGCGCCAGAGAACCCTAACGCACAGAGACGGCGACGGCGACGGCAGCAACCCCGAGTGGAACCACCACGCGCGCTTCCATCTGGCCTGGCTCCCGCGCGACTCCGCCGTCGACGATCTCTTCCTCCGCTTCGAGTTCCGCCACGACGGCCTCATCCTCGGCGACAAGCTCATCGGCGAGTGCCGCGTCGCGCTCGCCGATCTGATCCGCGACGCCGACGCCGCCGAGCGGTTCGTCAGCTACGAGGTTCGCTCCGCCGAGGGCAAGCCCAACGGGATCTTCAATTTCTCCTATAAAGTGAAAGGGCTTGGGCTTGGGCCTGGGCCTGGGCCTGGGCCTGGGATTGGGATTGGGAACCTCTCGTCGCAGATTCTCGAAGGGAGAATCTCCGGGTACCCGATTCTCGCTCCGGAGGATTGCGCTCCAGTTCAGTCGCACGTGCAATATCCCACGTGCGAAATCCAGAACACGTGTAGCTACCCGACGGTTGCTGTGCCGGTGGGTTCCGCTGTCTATCCCGCCGCTGCACCGCCTCCGCCGCCGGATGTTATGTCTTCGCCCGGCGGAGGGTATGATTGTTATTATCCACCGCCGCCTCCGCCGCCGCATGTAGCGTATCCGTACCCTCCGCCGCCTCCTCCGGTGGTGCATGCTTACCCGCCTCCTTTTGGGCCGCAGGCCCATCACTGGCCACCAGGCCCGTGTTGTGATCGCAGGTGGTAATAAGAGTTGGAACTTGGAAGCCCATATTGTCTGAAGAGTGACAACAACAGTCACAGTAGCTGTACAGTATATTTTACTTCTCTATTTACCTTTTTTTTTCCCTATTGCATTTTTTTTAGGGTTTTTCCATTTTTTTAAGGACTTTTTTGTTTTAAACATTTTTTTGGTAATATCCCAATTTCTTCGCCATTTATTGTTGTTTTGGGTGGAGCGGAAAAATCAAGGAATTGGTAAACAATTTTTTTTCTTTTTATGAATAAAAATTACGGAAGAAAGTTTCAATCTAGGATTTTGTGTGTAGTATTTTAACCCAGGAGTTAGCACATAATTAAGCATTTCTTAATCAACACGAGTCCAAATGAAAATATTAGGTGAATTAATCATGATTAAGCTAGAAACAAAAAAAAGAATCACTTTAATAACTTCATTACCATGGTCCATGACAAATTAGCAGGGTTTGTCGCGTTGTGTCACCACCTAATTTTCGTGAGATATAGTTTCCACAAGTATCAAAGATAGCACTACGATTCCGATGCACGATATGACATAAACTTAAATTTGTAGTTTTTACTTGCACGGTTGGTCCAATTAAAAAATTTAAAAGAAAATTATCAACTGGTAGTTTAGTACTGGCATCCACAACTACCTCACTTTCCCGACCCTTGTCGTCTCCATCATCGTATTTGTACAACAAAGTATCACAATTTTTTTTAGAAAAGTTTATGGGATATAATTACAAAATTTTTATTTGCAAAATTTTTATTTCTTATTATCACTACATAAAGATAAAAATAAAATTTATTTAATCATTTTATGCATTTAAGAAATTAATCATAATATTTTTTTTATAAATCAATTTTTAAATTTAATATTATATATTATAATTAAAATAACTAACATTTCACTTTAATAATACATATATAATAAATTATTTCATATATCGATTCTAAATTTGAGTTTAAATGTATAATTATATTAGAAAAATTAAAAATAATTACCATTTAAATATTAATCACATTTTTTCTATAATATTTCAAGTTTCTAAGGTGAAACTAGATGAGTCTAAGTTGAAGCATTAGCACATTAGTATGAAAACGAAAAAAAATATATTCAAATTTTCTATGAAAAATTATTTATGTTTAATTGTTGTAATTAAATTTATTAAATATTAATAAATTTATTTTATGATTAATAAAAAAAAATATTTGAATTTTTAAAGACTAACAAGTTTTAGAAAAAAAAATGGATCTAATCTATGTAGTTTTGAACAAGAATTATTTTAGAAGATTATTTTACCTTTAATAATATGTATAAATAGATATAGATATATATGCATTTAATATATTAATCACGTTCTTATAATATTTTCATTTTTTCATAAAAAAATTATTTATGTTTAATTAAGGTAATTCAATTTATTAAATGCTAATAAAATTCTTTTACAATTAATAGAAAATATTTGAATTTTAAAAGATTAAAAATTTTAGAAAAAAAATAAATTTGAATTATGTAATTTTATGCAAAATTTTATTTTTAGAAGATTATTATGTTGGGATAAATTTCTTAAGCTAAATAGAAATTTTTCATTAATTAATATTAAGAACTGTTGTCTCATATTACAAAGTTAAGGTTAGTAACACATACATGTATCCATTGACGTTGATAAAAAGTTGTAGCGAAATAGTCTTTTGGTGCGATGATCTTCCTCAGCCAAATCACTGGATTCCTTAACGGAACTTGATGTTAATCTTCTGATGGGGAGATAGAGAGACGTGTGTTTCTGATTTGACATATTGGGGACCATGACCGTCTTTACGATTTTAAACCTGTTAGGGTTCTCATTAACTCCTAACAGGTCAAATCTGGTTTCCACTTATTTGAGCCCATATCAATTTTTCCTGTTGGCAGTCTGAAGGCTCACTAAAATTCTTTAGGCACGCAACTGTATGCTATTTACTTTTAGAGTCCCCTTAAACAATCTAGTTCATCTCATACAACAACAGGGAACCATTGCAACTTTCATCATTATCTAATGTGACTAAACCACAATGATCACCATAATTGTATGCACTCAATGACATAGATCAAATATGGATAAGTGGCATGGAAATTACATGCAATGTGATCTCAGTCATGTCTATTTTCAACTGGTCCAAACTTTATTCTTTATAGAGATCCATTCAAAACGCAACATATATATATTGCACAAAAACAAGCTCAGAATAAAATTATGAACATCAACTTTATTTTTGTAGAAAATCCAAATAATACAAATATCTGAAAAAATTAAAAAATAAACAAGACATAAAACATAAATGAGACTCCCACTAAACTACGGAAGACACAAAACATAAATGAGACTCCCACTAAACTAAGGTACTATAAGGAATTACACCCATATGAGCAGTGTGCTCATGAAAGACTTTAGGCACCAAACCCTTAGTAAGTGGATCAGCTAGCATAAAATTAGTCCTTATATGTTCTATAGAAATTTGCTTATTCTGAACTCTTTCCTTAACAACCAAAAACTTTATATCAATGAATTTTGACTTGGTTGTACTCCTATTTTTATTGGAATAAAGAACTGCAGAGTTATTATCACAATAGATTTTTAATGGCTTTTCAATACCATCAACCACACGTAAATTAGTGATAAAATTTCGCAGCCATATCCCATGGTTGGATGCCTCAAAACAAGCAATGAACTCCGCAACCATGGTTGAAGAAGCTATAATAGTCTGTTTAACAGACTTCCAAGAGATAGCTCCTCCAGCCAACATAAAGATGTATCCAGATGTGGAGTGTTTACTGTCTTGACATCTAGCAAAATCAGAGTTTGAGTATCTAATGATCTCTAAATTGTCAGACTTTTGATAAGTGAACATATATCCTTTTGTTCTCTTCAAATAGCGCATTACACGCTTTACTACCTTCTAATGCTGCATCCCAGGATTACTTAAGTATCTGCCCAAAACTCCCGCTATAAATGCAATATCGGGACGAGTACAAACTTGAGCATACATTAAACTTCCCACAGCTGAAGCATAGGGAATCTTTTGCATCTCATTTCTTTCAAGGTCATTATTAGGGCACTGTTTGAAGCTAAATTTGTCTCCCTTGGCTATAGGGGTATCTCCTGGTTTACTATCTTTCATGCCAAATTTATCTAAAATTTTATCAATATAGTTCTCTTGTGATAACCTTATGATACCATGAGAACGATCTCTTAGTATCTTAATACCTAATACAAAAGAGGATTCACCAAGATCTTTCATTTCAAAATTCTTTGTTAAAAATCTCTTGGTTTCGTACAATAAGCCTATATCCCTGCTGGCAAGTAGTATATCATCGACATATAACACCAAGAATATATATTTACTCCCACTAAACTTATGATAAACACAATCATTAACTATATTTGCCTCAAAACCATATGAGATAATAACTTGATGGAACTTGTGATATCGAAGCTTGTTTGAGACCATAGATGGATTTCTTTAGTTTGCATACCATAGACTTTGAGTCACCAGAAACAAAATTTTCTGGTTGCATCATATAAATCGTTTCTTCAATGTCATTGTTATCTCCCTTGACAAGTATACCAAATCGTATAAGTAGTTCAATGAAAGTATGACTATTGTCTCCCAAGGGACTTGCGCAACACTTTGCAATTTCACTTGTTATACTAACTAAGCTACCAAAAAGCAATAAGAGTTTGATTTTCTATAGTAAATAATGTAAACAAGCAATAACAATTCTTTTTGGTATTTTGGTAAACACTTAGAGTGCAAAACTTGATTCTAATGTAATATTAATAAATTGTTGGGGTTTGACTTCACTAAACCTTCCTCTCATGTTTATCACTAAGTTTACAAAATTCTTTAGGCACGCAACTGTATGCTATTTACTTTTAGACTCCCCTTAAACAATCTAGTTCATCTCATACAACAACAGGGAACCATTGCAACTTTCATCATTATCTAATGTGACTAAACCACAATGATCACCATAATTGTATGCACTCAATGACATAGATCAAATATGGATAAGTGGCACGGAAATTACATGCAATGTGATCTCAGTCATGTCTATTTCCAACTGGTCCAAACTTTATTCTTTATAGAGATCCATTCAAAACGCAACATATACATATTGCACAAAAACAAGCTCAGAATAAAATTATGAACATCAACTTTATTTTTGGATCATCCTCTGTTAAACTAATGTCATCCTTATGTTCTTGGAGAAATACAATGTAATCATCTAGAATTGCACTTTTCCTTTCTCTAGTGGATCTCCTTAATGGCACTTCTTGAGGTTGTTGAGCTTGCTCTATAGGTATTTGAGGGAGAACCTCAATATTGTCTTGTGTTGAGACAATGTCAAGAATAACTCCATGATTGTCACCTATTACTGGGGTAGGTACTGGAATAGTAATAGGCACGAGGACTTGATCACTATCATGACAGGTTCTTCCTCAAAGATAACATTTCTTATGTTTTCTTCCTTCCCAAACTCAACATCCTTAAGGAATCTCGCATTCCCCGTCTCAAAGAGTGATCTAGTAGTGGGATTGTAAAATTTATAGCCCCAAGATCGTTCAGGATAACCAACAAAATAACTGCTAACAATCCTTGATTCCAGCTTGCTTTCATGCGGCCTATAAGGACGCGCTTCAGCTGGACAACCCCAAATGTGTAAATGCTTTAGACTTGGCCTTTTACCAGTCCATAGCTCATAAGGAGTTTTTTTAACTACTTTACTTAGTACCCTATTTAGGATGTAAACTACAGTCTTAAGCGCTTCTCCCCACAATGACTCTGGTAAGGAAGAATGACTAATCATACTTCTCACTATATCCTTAAGAGTCATGTTTCTATGTTCTACAACACCGTTCATGCTTAGTTTCCTAGGCATAGTATACTGAGGAACGATGTCACATTCCCTCAAGAAAAGTGCAAAAGGCCTTGGACGTTGTTCACCTGATCCATCATATCTACCGTAATATTCACCACCACGATCAGGTTTGACGGCCTTAATTTTCTTTCCAAGTTGAAGCTCAACTTCAGCTTTAAAAGATTTGAAAATATCTATGGATTGAGACTTCTCATGAACTAAAAATAGGTAGTCGTACCTTGAATAATCATCTATGAAAGTAATGAAATATTGTTGCCCATTCTAAGATGCCGTATGGAATGGTCCACTAATATCTGTATGAATTAATTCCAAAACGTCCTTAGCCCTTTCAACACCTAATTTTCTAGAATTTATTTGTTTACCCTTAAT